CCCACCCCTATAGCCAAATAAATCTTCCTGGGAATGAATGTAAGAGCAAAAAGTACTGCTAATGAAATAATGATGAAATAATTAATTCAGATTAAATAATACTCTTCAGCACTCCAACAGGTACTAATTTTCTCCTTGCCTGGCCTTATTCCTACAGGAAAGGGAGAAGAAAAAGCCTCTCAGGTATCTCTGCTCTGGATGATGCCTTAAAAATCCCAAGGCCCAACTCACCCTGTCCCACGGACCTTGGGGAATGTCCTGCCAGCAGCCTGTGTGGAGCACAGGAATACATGGAGGCTTCACTCCTTGGCTGAACCTTCCCAGCTGCTCTTCACTGACACAGAACATTCCTGTGAATGTCCCTTCACTGCGTGGATTTGGTGTGGATTTACTTCACCTCTCCTTTCCCAGTTAAACAAAAAAGAGCACATCCATTTACCCGCTGGGCGTCCATTGTCTAAAATCAAACAGGTATGGCACTGTTTGATGAACAAACCCAGTTCACCCACCTGGAAAGACTTTTCCTTCCAACATATTGTGTCCACACAGCCATGCCTTGACTGCCAACAACAATTAGCCAACATTAGCCAAGAGCTTCCTTGTATTTTTTGGCGTTGCCTGCAGGAAGCACGTCCTGCTTCACAGCTCCAGCAGTTCCAAAGGTGACAGTCCTCTGGATATTCCACCAAGATGAGGATTAAAATGTTTCCTTAAGCAGTCTCTGCCCCAAAACCACAGCAGAAATAACCTGGGAGGGCTGAATTCAGCCTCATGTTGAATAAATGTCCTCCCCACATCAGTGCAAGTCACGGTTAATACATTCTGTGGTGTCTCACTGGGATCCCTCTGAGTTTTCAACAGCACAGAGTCAAGAGCAGGCTTCAAAGTTGTCCTCCAAAGTCACCATGAGTTGTGGAAACAGCTCACACAGTTGGTATCTCCCCATCTCCCCTGCCCTGACTTAAATCAGATGGGCAAAACCTGACTGGTTCAGCTCACCACCAGCTTTCCAGCTGGGGCAGGAACAGTGAGTGGACACAGAAAGGCAAAGGCAGGTCCCTATTTGAAGAAACAGGGATTCTCATTCCTCTGCCACTCTCTGGTTTTTCTGCTGTGACTCCAAGGCTCTTATCTGACGAGCAGCAGCTCTGGCAGCAGCAGATGCTGAAGGCTGCAGGGTGTTACGGGGTCACATCCAGCTTCCAGCTGCTAAAAAAACTTCTTGTGACCTTTTAGTACCTATTTCAGGTCTCTGAGATTAAAAGGCAAGAGCTTGCTAGGAAAAAAAAAAATGAATAAACAGCCCAGCCCAGAAGCCACCCTATATCAGTCCTTAAAGGGCAGAGCAGCAGGATGCTCTGGCACTTGATAACGTTTCCTCTGTCACACAGCAACGCTTTCTGCTGACTCAGGATCAGCCTTGACATGCTCAGAACCATCTACTTTTCAATTCTCCTCTCCTGCTTTCCTTTTCTCTCCCTGTGTGTATCTTTCCAAAGCCCATTTCCCAGGTATTTCTCACCTGCATTTTCCACTCAGCCTGATTTTGTTTCATGGTTTGTTTTTTTGTTCTTGCCTAACCTGCCTTGTTCCTCCTCAAATACAGTGATTTGAGAGGTGTGCACTGCACCACACCAGCAGAACCTGCACATCCAACACTCCAGTTTAAGCAGTTCAGCACTGCTGTTTAAACTCAGTTCTGCCTGAGCAAGTGTTTATGCCTAAATTACATCAACGTGGAAAGGCCCAAAAAGAATGTTCTAGTCAGATTTAAACAAGCAGTCACACATGGATCTCAAGACTCTTGACCAAATGTCTGCCTGTCTAAAATACATCCTAATACATTTATGTCCCTCCAGAAGGGCTGGGTACACATCACTGTAATCTCTTGTTTAAATTCTAGTTGTTAAATGCATTTTATTTGCTCTGGGCAAATGATGCCTTTGTTTCCCTTCCAGCTCCTTGTGCAGCCTTCACGTGGCAGATACCTGGATAAAACTATCCCCTGGAGGGCCCAGGAAGCTTGAAATGTACCCTCGAGGAGCTCTTTGGTCATGTGGCAGTGCAGAGACTCCCTTGTAAAACAGAGACGCTGTTTTACACCTGCACCAGTGCAGGACTTTGAAGGCAGAAAGGTTCCCTTGGATGTTTTGTCAGAGTTTCCTCACTGTGCAGCCAAAAAAGCCAAAGCATGTGCTGAACACCTTGATGCCTCCTCAGCTCTCTGCTCTGCTCCTTGCCTTTGCAGTGCAGCTCTAACCAAATTACACACCATCTCCTTCCCTACATGGGCAGCACAAACATCCCTTGACTTCCTTGGAAACGGGGATGGCTTTAATTGCTCCGGCAGTGCCTTGAAATTCTCAGGTGGGCAAAGCATTTATTCCACCCTGAGCTGCACCAGGACGTGGAATTAACACACATGGCCTTTTATCTGCTCCTCACTCACCTCCCTGCAGCTCCCTCAAGACATCAAGTAGCAACAAATAGCAAGAAAATCCTTTTCCTCCTCAGAATTCCTTTTTATTCCACGGTTTATTTCCATGAGGTGCCTCCCCCTCAGCAAGGTAATCCCTCTGCTGTGGCAGAGACCAGGTTTTAACCTCGTGTTTACTGCTTTAAAATTGGACAGGCTCGTCTTGAAATAAAAGAAGGGCATCATTCACTGACCAACTTCACCATATTTCAGCAAATTATTCCAGGAACAGTATGTCCATACCTTGGACAGGAAATTTTGAAGAAAAATGAGCTGTAAACATCAACTCAAACCTGTATTAACTTCAAAGCTTAAAATGGAAGGGAGCAAAGCACCTGGCAAGACACAGAGAGATCCCAATCTCCCCTTTCAGGACAATTCCCCTATCCTGAGCCTTTGCTTCTTTGTGTATGGAATGATTTGTCCCCAGTTAAATGTCCTTTTATCCAGGGGCAATGCATACAGCAACTCTAAGGTGGCTAAATCCAATGAATCCAGGTATCCTCTGACAACTTGAAAGGAAGATCAAAGACAAACTCAGGACAAAGAGGCAGGTGAATTAAGGTGGCAGCTCTCAGCCCTGCTGGATTTAAGGCACCGTGGTGGCTGCTCTGCACTCCTGCAGGGGTTTGGAACGATTCCCTGGCACGGGTTTGGGATGACCCACGTGCTGAGCCACGCAGGTCACTGAGAACAAAGGTCAGCTAAACCTTTTTGCCCTCCCATGATGGATTTGAGATGGATTTGAGATGTTTCACAGGGCCGTGTGGCAATTTAGGTCACTTAAATACATAAAACCTCTTTCCGTGCTGACACATAAACACAAATTACTTCTTTTGTCACGCAGCATGACATGGGTTGTTTTTCTCCTGAACTAGTTTTTGATAGCTGGACTAACCATTCAATCTGCAAAACCACAAAGCTTCTCTTCCCAAGAGGAATTACTGATGTTTCTTGCAGGAGAGAGCTGAACTGCAAGGGAACCAACAGTTCAGTTGAGGAAGCCCAAGAAGTGTACTTGACATAAAAATCAGGCCATTATTTTATTCTGTGCTCTGCAAATTCAATTTTTTTTCTTTATTTATTTATTTTAAGGTAGAGATTCTAATTTCCAAAGGTGTTGGCACTCTCAGTTGCCATTGTGCAGAATCATTGCTCACATGGCCATTAATTAAGGCTGTTGTCAGCACTTCCATTCCAAACCTGCCTTTTAGGAGTTTATAACTCAGCCATAAAACCCCGCTCTGGGCTGAAATGCATCATGAAAGGGTCTGCCTGGAAGGAATCCATCCTTTTGTATTTGAGAGTCCCAAAAGCTCATAGCAGCAAACCAAGGATTTTATTCCAAAGGCTGCCACTCCCAAACCTGGGCTGCTTTTCATGAGTGCTGGGTGAGCTGGGCCTGCTGGACTGGCTCTGGGAGCTCCCTGGCAGGGTGGGCTTTGCACTCTTAACGTTGTAAATTTGAGGAATTATGAGGGTTTATGCTTCAGGGCCAAAGCCTGTGCTTAGTTTAATACCAGTGAGCACCTCTGCCCCCACTGTTCCCTGCTGGAGTATGATCCATATGGATTTCCCACCCTTCTCCCCCCACAACCTTCACTGGGCCTAATTCATACTCCAGTGCTCAGCTAAAGAGATGGAACTTGTCTCTCCAGGAGCACAGGTTAGGCTGCAAATGGTCCTCTAGTCCACTAGCAGTTGTAGTAGTAGTATTTTCCTACCTTTTTTTCAGTCTCTTACTGAACAGGAAGTTTGCACAAAAGCATCCAAAACTACTTTTAGCAGAACAAAAAGTTATTAGTGGATTGCTCTTTGCAGTCCAGTGGAGCAGCTTCTGATTTCTTCAGTACCCACATGTGTCTGAAGCACACACAGAACCAGACCCTGGACTGTCCTGCACCCTCCACCTCCTTCAGTTCCCTGCTCCCCAAGAAGTTTCACGGCCCTACAGGTTAATTTTTCTTGTTCTAGAAAACAGGCAGTGCCTGCCAGGCTCAGCTGCTGCACTCTGATCTGGCAATCCAGCGTAAAAGAGACATTTCGAAATTCCAGCTTGCTTTTTTTCCCAGTGCAAAATTTCTGCAGCTATATTTTTAAAGGATTAGAAAAGTTTAGGACTGCTGGCAACACGTAAAGATAATGCACCGTGCTCAGGACATCAACTGACCCAGAGGTCACAAAGGAATATTCATGTTTGCAATTGGTTACCTTCCATTTATGAATTTCCACCTTCTCAGGACCAGAGTAAACATATCAAAACTAATAATGGGTTTTCTTTACAAGTCCAATCAGTCCTCTCTTCCAACACAAAAGAGACTGTTTCCCCCCACAACTTTCCCCAAAATAAAAACAAAAGAGAGGGGAGGTGGTAAGGGGAGAATGAGGAACAAAGGGAGGAAGAAAAAAAGCAAACCCACAGCACTGACAGAAATGTTCATTTACATCTCCCAGCATCCATATTCCAGTAACCATATCATAAACTCTTAGCCCACCATACAAAGAGGGTGCCCCAAAATGGTACCTGCAAGAGGTCTCTCGGAAGGAGATGTTTAAATCCCAGTGGGTGTGTATCCTGTCAACAAACAAACAAACAAACAGAGAGGTCAGTGGCACGGGCTCAATGCTGCATCTCTTGCTACTTAAAAAGATCTGCTCCACCACGACAACCCACCTATGGCCCCCCAAACCCAACCCCACAGCTGGCAGGACCCCCGGGTGAGCTGTACAGCACCCACAGACCTTCCCCTTGCTGCGTGCAAGAGGTGCAGGGGCTGCAGGATGTCATCTCAACTCCCAGGCCACATTCAGAGGAAGCAGAACGAGCTCAGCGTTGACATTTTACGAAGAAAACCCAAATCTGTCTGTGCTGTGTCCCCTCCTCTGCACCCGCCCCGGCTGTAAATAAATTATTAGCAATTTCCCACCTCGGAAATTAATTCCACGTACTCTGTCACTCTGCCTGCTGACAAGCAGCAATAGCAGATTCCAGATGAACAGAGCAGCCAAGGGGCTTGGTTTTTTGATGGATTTTTTTTTTTTTCCCTTTGCTACTAAGACAGCATCCACCCCAACCCAGAGGGAAAAGGCTGACGCTTGACCTTCTGTGGTCTGGTGTCTCCTCTCAAAAGCAGGGAGCACTGATCTCCCCTGGCTCAGGGGATGGTCTGTGACCACCACTGTGTCTCCACGTCACGGTGATTGATGACAACCCCAGCCATCTGAGACCAGCCTGGCAAGCTGGAGTCCATATCCTCGCCCAAACCCGCTCCCACGGCTCCCAGAGCCTGCCAGGGAACGTGCTGGGTCCTGGCTGGGCAGATAAATCACCTCCTGCAGATGCAGGTTCCCAAAGGGCCACGGATATTCACGAGCAGCAGAAACCAAAGGCACTTTCTGCACATTTTGTGTAGCCCTGCAGCAACTCCTGCCTCTGCCCCCAGCAGAAAAAGCAGCGGTGCGTGGCTGTGGAGCATCTGGCTGCAGGAGGAGCCTCACCTAAAACCTGCTGGAGTTAGAGAGAGCCCTTCCCCCGGTCTGAATGGGCTGTGAATGGGCCAGAAAACACTTCACCATGACCAGAGAAGTCGATGGGGCTTCACTCAGGTTTGAGTGCTTGTTTAAGTGCTTTCCCGCTCCAGCCTAGTCCTGAAATTACCTGAGAACAACTCTTAGCACGGAAATAATTTCACATCCAAGACGTGCTGGCTGCTGCCAGTTTTACTAATGTGATGGCAAAGCTTTTGTGCTCTTCCTGCAGGTCTGACTCAGAAAGGGAATCTGGTTATTCTTTTAGGGGTGAATAGTTCTTTTTCTAGATATTAACGTCCACCAATAAAGCCATTCTCAGATCTCCACTTAGCAGTGCCACATGAGCCTAGTTTTTCCTATTCTTCTTCCTCATACATACCAGTCTAGGAAATCTATCCCAGATTTCCACCTTCCCAGCATTTCATTTGCTAACAGAAATGGAGCAGGCTCTTCCCAGCTCCTGAGTTTAAAGCAGGAACAGTTGCTCTTCCAAGTTAAAATTCAGAAAATGTTTGAAAACTTTCTGGAAAGGAAAGGTCAAAGTGGGGCACTGAGTAAAATTTCCATGAACTGAAATCTGGTCAGACTCTGGGACGTATTTGGACTCTCCAGGTAAGCTGATGCAGGTACCTCCCAGCCATGGCACTGCCAAAGGGGGCACAAGGCTGGAGGGTGAAATGATCTCAGCCTTCCATAAAATGTAACTTCCCATGGTCTGTGCAGCTCCTGCAGTGATCCCAAGGGTCAGGGGAAGGCCTTGTCTCACGGTGAGACTCAGCTCAGCTCAACTTCAAAGCCCAAGAGCACTTTGTGAGAGAGGGATAAGGGGGAGGGGGAGGGAAAAGCTCATCCCAAAGGAACGGCTCAGGATCCACAGCGAGGCCGAAACATCCGTCTGCCGAGATGGGTAATTAAACACTCACATTCAGACAAATGAATAGGTGAGAATGAAATTAAATTCTCATTATCTTTTTTGGGGGGGAGGGGGGAAGGAGGGAGGGACAGGGAGCAGAACCGACACTCGTTCCACTGAGCTGGGCCGTTATCACCAATTAGATTTCTGAGCCTAATGTACATCTTGTTTGAACAGGTTATTCATCCAATTGAAATCAAATTACTAATAATTTGCAAAGTATCGCCTACACAGGCCTATCCTTGGGTTGTATGAAGAGTGGTGAGCAGGAGCCAGTCCCTTACGAATTAATAACAGAAAAGGAGGAGGGGAGGAAATAAAATCCACAGTCGGGCAAGTGAAGGTGCTGCAGGTGCTGCTTCTCTCCCAACTCCTCACCCACCTGAGGGCTTGGACATGGTGTGGTCAGTTAAGTGTTCCATAAATGGGTCCCACAGGAACAGCTCCCTGCAGAGCCTGGTCAGCAGGGAAGGGGGCCCAAGGGGGAATTCACTACCTGCTGCTTCAGGAGGGGCTGGAATGTCAGGGTTTGGCTTGGGCAAAGAATTAAACCCAAAAAATACTAACAGGAAGGTCTGAGGCTATTCAAGGCATCTCTGGAGCCTCGACTGCAATGAGAATCCAGGCCAGAAAAGCACGTGGCAAGAGCTGGCAAAATAATGGAGAGCAGCTGGGATAGTTTTTAATTTTTAAGTTGTTTCCTTCCCTGTCATTTCTCTTTTACTCCAGCGGTCCCTGAAACATTTCAACACCGGGGAAGGGGCCAGGAGTGAGTCAGGTGTCTCCCTAACATCCTGTCACCCTCATTCTCAGCTGAGTTCCTGCACTATGGCCAACCTCCTCCCTGTGCTGTCCCAGGTACACACTGCAGGAATCCAGGGACCCAGACACATCCTATGGAGCGTGGGGAACACTGGGCAGCACCCAGCTACAGGAACAGGTCATTACTGCCAGAAAAACCCATTACAGCATCAGCTCTTACCCACAGCTGTCCCTTCTTACTCCCCCTTAATTATAAGGCCAACACTTCCTTTGGATGGAGTTTGTCCGAACCTCTCAATTTTCTAGGCCACAGAGAAGAGAAAAATATTGACAACGTTTTCCCACATCCTCTGGTTTAGAAGTCTGACCTGAAGGGACAGCGCTGGTAAAAGGGAGAATGAAGGAATTTCTGTACAATGGGCACAGCCCAACACCACCAGGATCGCTGGGAATTCAACATGCCCTGGGTGCCACCACCGTGCATGGAAACACGGAATTCACAGTGCTGCAGGGAAGCAGCTTGGGAAGATGGACCTGCAGGTGCCATTCTGCTGGATGCTGGGTTAGATGGACAGAGCTGGCCCCTCTCTCCTCCCTGCTCTTCACAATTATCACTGTCTCAGCTTCCAGAGTCTCCCTCTATCCATGTCAGGCTATTTTCAGGCAGCCACCACCATTAAGAAGCTCGTGCAGGCAATGAGCAGGAGTTCAGGAAACCTCACCCATGGCTGGAAGAATGGCCTTATTACAGCAAGACTGAGAACTTGGACTTGGGGCATCTGGGTTATTCTCCACCATGGAACTGATGTCAGATACAGGGAGACATGGAGAGCAGCCAAGAGCACTCGTGGGTCGAGGTTTCATTTCCTTTCACTCTTACACTTCACCTTTCTTGCAGGTCTTTTATCTCCCTCCTAAGACAGGAGGGATTTCTTGCTGTTTATTATATTTTATCCTGAAGCATCCCTGAGAAGTGAGTAGCCATTTTCTCTCTCTCTTCCCCCTCAAATCCATGTCCTCATTAGGTCAGTGACACGCTTCCTGGCACTCTGGACCAAGTCCAGCCTTTGCTTCCCAGAGGGATCTTTAATATATTTATTGAATACGGTGACTGTTGTTAAGTGGTGCATGGTTCAGAGGGGAAGAGGGAAGAGAAGGAGGGAGGAAAGAGAAAGGAGAAAATAAAGAGCTGCAGAGGGAGGAAGAGGGGACTGATAGAATAAAACCAGTGAGAGCTGTGAAGAAGTATCATAAAGCAGCAAAATGTGTCTCCAGCCACAAGAGGGGCCCTGCCTCCCTCTTCTCGAGTCCTGGCAATTAGGAGAAGGGCTGTCGAGTCTGATCTGAGAGCCTGAGTCCCGCTGGAGCCCAGAGCCCTGCTCTGTCACGTCTCTCTCCAGTTGTGCAGCGCCTGGCAGAGCCCTGTCAGCTCAGCCCAGGCGAGGAGCAGCGTGGTGTGGCACATCCTGCCACGAGACTGAGCTCCAAAGGGAGCAGGGATGTCACACAGCTCTCATCCCTAGGCTGCTGGGGAGCATCTTGGGAAGAGGCCAAGCGAGAGAAGGCAGGCAGCTCTGTGCACATCAGCTGGGAAGGCACTGGGACCTCGTGGCTCTGAATCACAAGCAGGTGCATGAGACAAACATAATGGGGGGTGCTCGGGTCTGATCTTCAATCAATTAGGGAGTCAGAGAGCAGCAGCCTTCTGGGAGGTAGGAAATAGCTTTCCACTTAGGAAGGCAGGCAGAGGGAAGGCTGACAGTGCCAGCCATTAAGGCTTCATGGAGGTCAGTAATTTCCCTATTAGAAAATGGGTGCTGAGCGAGGGGAAGGCTGGAAAGCTGTTCAGAGAGGTGAGGGGAGGGCAACTCATCCTGTCTGGGCTCCATCCAACGTTCCTGTGTGGACAGGGGCAAGGAGACAGTGTCCCACCATTCCTTCTGTAAGCACCTTCCCTCCAAATGCTCTTCCCTGGTTTGAAATAACTCTAATCCCAGCCAGGTGTTAGACACTGGGGTCATACTGCTGACACAGCCAGAGAAGGGGGTGGGGGGGAAGTGACCTAAAAACAGGATGAAGGACTTGAAGGGCAGGATGAGGTTCTCCAGAAATCTGCTTCTCGTTGCACAGACACCCTGTTACAGGACAGCTTTTGTTATTTCTCCTCAAAATGGCTTTTATCTCAGTTCATTATTTGGCGAGGAACCCAGCCCGTTGTGTGCTCTCATTGTACAATCTGCTACTACTTTTGCTCCCAATTCTCTCTCTTTTTTTTTTTTTTTTTGAGTAAAAGAATTTCAAAGGCAGTTTTGCCACATGTATCCATTTGCACCTCTCCTGCCCATTCCTCAGCCCCGTGTACGTGTTCACTGATATCCCACAAGGGCTCCTTCAGAGACAGGTCAGGTCAAAAACTTTCACCATTTTAACAGGTGTTTAAACATTACTGCCTCTTATTCTTAGCCACACCATCACATTTTGCTGGGGACTTAGACAAAGCTGCTCCTAACCCACCCTGTTAAATCTCAGATGCTCTGATTGCATTTCTCCTCTTCCCTTTCCCTCCCCTCCCACACTAATGAAAGAGGCCAGTCTTTAAAATAGAAATTAAATTCATGCACCCACAAGACAATGCTGGGCTTAAATCCAACAGCATGTGAGGATCTTTACTGTTAAAGCTGAGCCTTATTCCCTGGCTGCACTGGCTTTCATCTCCCTGGTGTTTCTTGGGATAACATAATATCCTTGAAGGCAGTTTTCACCTCAGGGTGGAAAAGCTCCCGAGCTGAGGTAATGCATTTATCAGTGCTGGTTGGAACCTCCCTGCGAGTGTAAGGAAGTTAATGCTCTCCAAACTGTTGCAGGGCAATGGAATCTGCAGCCTCCAACTTAGAATCTGGGAATCATTAAGGCTGGAAAAGCCCCTCTGTTATCACCAAGCCCAACCTTTCACCCAGCACTGTGTTCTCCACTAATCCCTGTCCCCAAGTGCCACATCCACACGTTTTTTGAACGCTCCCAGAGATGGTGGTTCTACCACTTCTCTGCATGTCTTATTTGGTGTCTAGGATAACCCAGAGATGGGTAAAAAAAGAGAAGACTGGCCTAACTTTTAGTTCAGCTTGCTGGGGAGAGGCAGCTTAGTTAACTGCCTGTGAGAAAGGAAAAAGGCAAAGGGTTTTTTTGCCTCTTTCTACCTGAATTCTGCCCTACATAGTCCTTGTAGCAGTGCAGCTATGCCAGTATTATTTTGGCTAAAATAACTGTACAGGTTGACATTGGTACAGAAATGCCCAATACTGACACCATTCTTTTTCCCCAGAGGAAAAATTATGTTCCCAGCCAGACAAACATTCTTACCAGGAGTCAGGAAAGCTTAACCAAACCATGGGAGTTTAGACAATGCTACTGTTGCATGTAGGCAGTGTTGTAAGAGAGCAAGATCTTCAGGAAGCTGAAATCTGATAGGAAGAAAGAGGATTTTTCCTCTGCAACATTGTCCCAATAACCCTTGGAGCTGAGTGCCTGGAGTCTGTGTCAGCACAGTGACACGGTTTTGGAAGGACGTGGTTGTGAAATCATTTGGCATCCACTGAATGCACTGACTTCAGTGGGAGCTACAGGTCTCTGCTCCTTTCTAGGACTGCAAGAACCTGCCAAGGCAGGTTTCCTCTGCCTCAGATCTCCTCTGAAGGCCACCACCATGGGCAAGATCACAGAGGAAATCGGTGTCAAAGGCGAAGGTGAGGGACCAGCCAAGAAACCAAACTTGCAAGTCCTTTCCTAATCCCCAGAGTCTTTTCTTCAGACCTCAGAGTAACAGAAAGCGTTCCCTCGTGCCAGCAGGGGAAGGAAAAACAGTCAACACAGATGAAACTGGGAGCAGGAGAAAGCAGAAAAGGCACCAATGCTGAAAGCAGTGAGGCAGGTGTTTATGATGGCACGGGCACACAGGGGGGGCAGCCAGGGGTGCAAAAGAAGGAAGCACAGGTTTGCTCAGGCCCTGACCTTGTTTTCCTATCACAGTTTAACCTATTTCTTCCTCTCAGTGGGGGGACAATAAACCCTCAGCCCAATCCATGCCCATCAGGGAGGACACAACAGGTGAATTAAAGCAGAAAGCAGATGGGGCACTGTCTCTGCCGGGTCCCAGCTGTCGTGTCTGAGCTGTCTCGCCTTTATGCTGGGCTGTGTCTCCAGAGCCAGCCCCATCCCACCTTCCACCTCACTCCCTGCCTGCTAATGACACTGGGATCACAGCCAGAGCCTGCTCCTTCCAGCAGGGCTGAGCAGGAGTTGGGCCAAGCTTCCCATTCATGGCTCTGGAACAGCTGGAAACGGCCAGTCCTCCCCCTCTTTGGGACAGGGGGACCCATTTCCAAGGGACAAAATGCTTGGAAGTGCTGGAAGATTGGAGCAGTGGATGTTCCCTGCCTGGGCACCAAGCACTGAATTTCTTTTCTCCTCTTCTTCCTGCGCTCATCAGGAATGCTGCCTGCCCTGTTTGCTCCAGCTATTCCAGCTTCTTCCCCCCTCACACACACACACACTGCATCAGAGCTCCCAGGAAAACAAAAAGGAGAGCAACTGTACAAAAGCAATTAAGAGCCTAATCTACTTGGTAAGAATCCTGTCCTCCTCTGAGGAAACAAGACAAAGCTTAAACAAGAGACCTTCAGACAAACTGATTGAGAACTACTGGAGAGCACGGCAATACCAGGCTGGGGGACCACTGCCTAATAACCACTAAGTATTTTTCCTTCATTTCCTAATAAGCAAGGCAAAGCAATTACAGTAATTAAAGATTTAAGATAAGAGCACTTTATATTTGGGGGGCCCAGCATATCAATTATACAGTTATCATGTTGTTCTCCCTCCTAATGAGACAATCTAGCACTATAATTTCGCAGCATTAAAAGCATAATTAAAGGGGGCAGGAGAAGAAGGGCAGTTTACCAAAACTGATTAGGAGGGTTTCCTCTCCTCAGTGGCTCCTGTGCACACACACAGCACAGATGCATTCCCCAAACACCCTTCCATTTCCAAGAGATAACCCTGGAACATGGCTGTTGGACAGCTGCAATGATAAACCCAGGCTTTAATTACAGGAGGGTTTTATGGGAAGAGCTGGTTGCTGGGTTTGTTGTTTTTCTGCTGTTTTCTCCCTACTCCCAAGCTCTTGGTTGCTGAATGTACCAGCATCTGTTGGAAGGTAAGGGGGAAATAGCTTATCTTCTCAGAGGCAAGAAACACATAAAACATAAGGAAAGCAATTACATGCCTTCAGTTCCCACTCCTCTGTTTTTATAGGGCTTGTCTTAGAATCTGAGTGATTTTATGCATCAGAGGGAGATGACAATCAAGATGAGTGGCAATGATATGCATGGGAGGCTGAGGCACAGTGCCTTTAGGTATCTATTTTCCTGTAGTTACAGCTTTTCTGAACTTCCTATTTTTTTCAGAGGGGTGAGAGAACCCAGAATTTTGCAGCTGAATATTGTGGGCACTCAGACCACACATGAGAGCCCAAGGGACAGTTCCCATAATATAACTTAAAACAATCCCTTCTCCTCCTCCTCTAATGCTGCACAATTCCAGGAGAAATGTCAGTGGTACTGGGAAAAACAGGATCAAAGTATGTAAGCACTGAGGTGAGCCCTCACCTGGGTTACTCTTTCCTGCTGCAACTTCATCACTTCTACATCACTACTACAGAGGTTCTCAGGATGCTCTTTGACACTTGTACTTCAGGACATAAAATACCACACACACTGCTGCTCCACACCTCCTTCCCAAACTTTGCTCCCCAACGCTGAATTATCCAGTTTATATTACATCTGAATTTGGGGACAACTGAAAGCAAAAGGCAGGATTTTGGACCCATGCACCACTGTGTGCTTTCAGACAGCTCTGTATAAGCCCACAGACGAGTTTTTGGTCATGCAGTTCTTTGGCCACAAAGGCACAGAGAGTGAAACACAATTTACAGCCTGCAAATCCAGATGCCTTGAGGGCAAACATGAGGCCACACAGAGCCCCACTCGCCCCAAACAGGGGTGAGTAAAGAGGAAAAAAAAAGACCCAACTACTCTTTCTGAGCTATAATGTGGCGTTTGCACTCTGATTTCAGGCCCTGGGGGTCACTCCACAGGGCTCACAAAGGCTGGTCACCTGCTGCCCAAGTTCTCTGTGCCTTTGCTCCTGCACTTCAGCACTCCCCGGCAGGAAAAGTACCTTCTTTTCATGATACTGATGTGGAGATCCTCCTCCTGCTTTACTTCGGGGTGCTGACCATTGCTCTTGTCGCTCTCTTCGCTGTCGTCGCTGTGTGAGAAAATCGAGGTGAGCTCTTTCTTCGGGATCCTGGTGGGAGGTAAAGGGATCGTCCTCTTCTCTGCCAGGCGGCCCCGGTTCTGGAATTAGTTGCAATGGGAAAGGGCAAGAGGAGGAGAGAAGAAAACAAAGGACTTGGTCAGGAAACTCAAACCCAAGGAGCTCCTGTCAAAGAGCTGCCCTGAGAAGGCAGCACTGTCAGTCCCACTGTTAGGGTGGGTGGGCAAAGGCCCTGCTCACTTTGCAAGAGGCTTTGCAGCAAAGGCACAGCTGTATCTAATTCTTCCAGTTCTAATCAAGTCATGCCCTTCCAGCCTCTCCCACCTCTTCATTCCTAGCTTGTGTCTGATCCACATCAATAGGAAAGGGAGATGGCACCAGTCTTTCTCTCCAGAGTATTTCCTACCTGCACATTAACATACTGGAGTAAGTTCAATTAAACCTTTGCCAGTAGCCCAGGGAAGCCATGATCCAGATAATCCAGAGCACTTCTGACTGTAAAGGGGGAAAACTGCCTGTGCCAGCCAGCAGCAGGTTCCTCTCACACCACTGAACAGTCCACAGCAACTTCAACCTGAATTACTGAGGTTACTTCCCACTGCTCATCTGCATGTTGAGATGGACTGAGCCTTGCAGAGATGTCCCTCAGTGCTCCTCCCTCACCAGCTCACTGCTGACAGGGCACAGCTATGCAGGAGGAGAACTCCCAGGAGGCCTTTTTCCTCACATTTACAGAACCTGGCACAGCATGACCCTGGTCCCAACCTCCTCCTCTCTTCAAGAAGTGAGATGTATCACAGATCACCCTGTCCCTGCAGCCTCTGTGCCTGATCCACAAGAAGACACAAACCCAGTGCAGCCTAAGCCAGACTGTGCTGGGCTTTAGCTCCCACTGGGACAGAACAGGTTTTTAGGATTGGGGTGTTTGGCTCCATCTGTGACTGACCAAGACAAGAGCCATAACATGAGCACTCCCAGTGGAAGATGTACACTGGAAACCCAGGGAGACTGTGGTGTCATTCCCTCCCCCCCCCAACCCATCCCAGAATCTAAACTTTTAGCAAACAAAATGGTGAAACTGGGATGGGAACCACAGCAGGGGGAAGGGAAGCACAGTCCTGTGCATGTGCTTTGTACAGGAAGAAAGGTGTGTGGAACAGGCTGAATAAGTGCAGAGTAACACTGAATTAATAACAGTTCCTCTGAAACATCGATTCCAACTTTCCAAGTAAACCTGGCAAAACACAAAGGTCCTGGGAAAGCCAGTCAGGCTCTCTGCAGGGGAGAACCAGGAACACTAAATGATGGAAGAGCCCGTGCTTTTTTTTAATTAAATAAATTAAGAACCTTCCACAAATACAAAACAAAAAACTTGTTTACTTCTGTCAATAAATTCCAGTTGTGCTCATTAAGGGGAGTCCTAATCGCTGTGATAATTAGCTAAATCCATCTGGAAGGCATCACCCCAAGGAGCCACGTTAGAGCTTTCCCACCCTGATGCAGGTCCAAGCCAAGAATGCAGCTGTCTGTGAACAGCAGACACCCAAGGGAGAGCAGAGCAGTGGGCCAAGCTGGCACAAAAACGGGAAAACACGTCCACAAGGAGAAAGACACGCACTTTATACACTGTGTGTGTGTCTCCAACCCTCATGTGGGAGGTGCATTTCCACCCCTGCCCCTCTCCTGCTCCAGTGCAAACAGAGAATGTGCACCAAGTTCATCCTCTGCCCAAAGTCACCTCAGGAGCACGAGCTCACTCGGAGCCAGAAGGACGGCAGGGAGGTGAGGAGAGAACGGGAAAAGCGAGGGGATGGAAAGGAAAAGCAAGGAGGGCAGTATTTGCACCAGATTTCTGTCATGGACCAGCATGAGCTTCACCACCCAAAGCTTTCTGTGTTTTTCAGGAGTTGCAATTAAAGGGGACGGGGAGGGAGGGGGGTGCAAATTTCCGCCCCAGAATAATTGGAAATCACTCTCTGCTGTGGCTTCGCGGGCTAAAGAGAACGGCACAGATCAGACACTAAAAATCATTTTATGGCCATTATGGCACCTCGGAGCAGTTAGCAGGTCTCAGTGACTGCCCAGGGACTCGTCAGCCCCGAGCAGAGTGAGAGTGCAGCAAACAGGGAGGTGCTGAGCCCACGGAAACAGCCCCCAGGCCACAGCACGGGTCGCCCCTTCCCCTGCTCCTCAGGGTGCTTTTCCTTTGCCTTTCTGTAAATTGTACCCTTACACCTAAAGCTGCTGCACATGCACACATATATAACATACAGATATTGCAGATGTACCTATATAGGTAACACCTGACACATCTTCCCTTAAAAGGCAAATAAATGAGCGTGAATGGAGGAAGAGAATTTGCATCTGCAGCGACCTCTGGTCACAGGTGACCTGCCCTGCTTTTGTAGGACAACAATAGAACCAGAGTGGTTCCAGTGTCCCTGTAAGCCCCAACATTCCAGCCCCAGCAGTGCATTTATTTTTTTTAAGTTCTGTTTACTCTGTACTTTGCATTTTTTTTTGCCATCAGGTTTGGGGTGCTTTTATTTATTTATTTACTGCGTCTCTCAGTTCGCAGAAAATTAAAATAGACTGAGCCAATCAATTTTGCCTTTTATATTCATCTATAGTCAGTTTTGAATCAATTGCACTTTCTTAATCTGTTTAGAGGCATTCACCAGTAGATACACATTACTTTTAAATTAAGCACAAAGGTAGCCAGAAGCCTGGCCCAGAACCTGCTGCAATCAATTGCCTTTCCATTGACTTCAAAGGGCGCCGGTCCAAGCTGCAAACAAAACAAAAAACACACTCCAAAACACACTAAGGAATCTTTCCTGGGTTTTGCTGAAGTTTTTTTTTCAGTTGTGCAGATAGATTACAGAACAGCAATGTACCTGCAGAGGTGAGCAGTGGGTTGAGACACCTACAGTGACTCCAATTCAGGGTTATCAAGTACCAGTGGTGAGTGGCAGCAGGTAGTAAGGTCTGCACTGAGCAAGAACACACTCAGAGACTGCAGGGGCATCACCAGATGTGGGGAGGTACGTTAGGATTTACAGGTATTCGGTGTAAACCTCATAATCTCACATTTAAAAAGCTCGTGTATGGGTGGCAGTGTCACTGCACTGATCTCACACAGCTGTGGGATGCTGGTCCTGAACCCTGTATAAAGGCTTGAGCATTTTTAAAAAATAAACTGCCTCCCAATTGGTTGAGACTCACTGGGATGTCTGATGAAGGGAGACTACAAAACAGGTGGAGAGAGACTATTTACAAGGGCCTGGAGAGACAAGACAAGGGGGAACAGCTTCAAACTGAAAGTAGGTTTAGATTAGAGATTAGGAGGAAATCCTTCCCTGTGAGGGTGGGCAGGCCCTGGCACAGGTTGCCCAGAGAAGCTGTGGCTGCCCCATCCCTGGAAGTGTCCAAGGCCAGGTTGGACAAGGCTTGGAACAACTTGGTCCAGTGGAAGGTGTCCCTGCCCAGGGCAGGGGCTGGAACTGGATGATCATTAAGACTCCTTCCAACCTAAACCATTCCATGATTCTATGAGTCTACGCTTGGGAAAACAACCCAAAACCAACAGTCACGTACTGTGAGAGCCAGGCGCCTGGGACACTCCTTTCCCCATTAAATAACCCCATTTTTACACACCTGAAGAGTGGGGGGAAGGTGTCCTCTGCCAGCTGGCTTCTTCAAACCAGTGGGACTGTTTTGGCCAGTGAGTCAGAAGGAGCATTTTCTGGGGCTGCAGAGCCAGCAGCTGTCCCAGCAGGGGCAGAACCCCCAGCAGAAAGATGAGAGCAGTAAATACAGCTCAGAGCTCATCCAGCACAGCCAGCTTGCCTGCCTGCCAGCTGCCCAGTCCAGGAGGACAGACAGAAAGTGGTAAGGAACAGAATATGCCCCTGAGAGCGGGGGGGGAACACAGGACCCTCCCCAGAGGTGAAACAGCCAGGCAGCCAAAATGCTGATGCAGAGTTATGGCACAGTTAATAATAAACCTGCAACAAACCCTCCAACAACCTCTTCAGGGCCTGAGAGGAGTCCAACCAAAGAGCTTCCCTTCAGGACAGACACTGACTCAGCTCAGGGGAAACCTCTCCAGGCTTGCACCCTCCTTTCACAGCAAGAGGATTTCCCCCACTCCTTGGATCCAGGGCGGAGAACACAATATCTCTCTTTAATTAGTGTAACTAGAAAGTTAAAACGTTCCTGCAATTCTCCAAAGCCTTTCCAAGGGGTGAGCGTTGAGGGCACGGCAGAACTGCCTGGTGCATTAGGGCTCCCTTCCCCTTCATACATTGTTAAAGATTAATTTTGTGGGTTATGATTCCAGCTAACGAAGCACAGCTGGAGTTTGAGTCAATAAACCCTCCGTCCCCCCAGACAATTGAGCTCCCACCCGGCCGCTCCTGCGTCAGCCCAGCCCTCCGTCACTCACCACTTCACCCTCCCAGGGTCTTTTGACACCATTAATTGCTTTCATTGCCTCTCAAAGTATTGTCTGGGTGGGGGGTTGCTTTGTTTTTAAAAAATCACAGACAGGCATATTTCCTTTCCCCAGGAAAAATATCAGATGGGGGACCAGCACGCTATTTAGTGTCACCCACTATCCAGAGATTGAACTGCAATTAAAAAAAAAAAAAAACAATAAAAACAACAACCTGGGAACAGCAGCAGGTTACCCGAGTGGAGAAGCCTGGAAGCCCCATCGTTCTTGCCATGAAAGGCAAGGACCGTCGGAAAGATGGAAAAGAAAACAGAGGGGATGTTTCTTCCCTTCCCGAGAGCTGGGGGGGAAATTCCGCTCCGGGTGGCTAAACAAGGTCAGCGGAGTTACAAAATAAAATCTCTCTTCCCCCCCCACCCATCCAACCCCCTCGTGGCTCTCCCCTGGAGCCCCGTCCTCCCAGCCACGAATTCCAAAATCCGAAGTGTTGCATAAGAGCCCTGGGAGAGCTCGCAGATGGAATGACGGGCGGAGAGCATGGGACTTGGGGGAGAGACAGGAAGGGAGGGTTAGGAAAGGTTTCCTGCCCTGGGAGCTACTGCAACAAGGTCAAAACAGCTGAAC